ATAATACAAGTCACTCAGAGCTTAAGATGTTAAGATACTAGATGCAAGTTAAATCTTAAAGTTTTAACTTTAAAGAGCTAAATAAAGTCCATTAATAAAAATCTTTTATACTTCAGAAAAGGTAAGCAAATGCTTAAAGGAAGAATGAATGCAAATACTAATGAACTTTAATCTTGTAGTAAGAGGAGAACAATGAAAAGAAGGGCATGTTTCCCATTTGCACACACTACCAAAAAAGTAGCAAAAAAAGTAGCAAGGTGCAGAGTGGTACTCTGCCCAGTTACACATTCCTGAAATCCAAATGCACTTTAATTATCAATATTTAAGGTACTTTAAGAAAGAGATATGCAGCCCAGGATACACAGGCTTCTACAGACCGGTACATTTTCTAATTTGGTAATTGTCAGAGAAATTAGCATACAGTACCAGGAAGTTGCCCAGTGGCCAAGCTTAACTAAATTATAGTCTTAAAAGCTCATAGACAAACATTTTTCTAAGATCTTGTCATTCATACAACCAACATTCAGTGTACGTTTCATTTCTCATAACATGCTTCCCTGCAACCCTCTTCCCATCATGCCTCTTCAGAAAGGCTTGTTGTAAATTGAGAGCAGCCTTGCTGAGAAGGACTTGGGGGTACTGGTGGATGAAAAACTGGACATGAGCCAGCAAGGTGCGCTCGCAGCCTGGAAAGCCAACTGTATCCTGAGCTGCATCAAAAGAAGTGTGGCCAGCAGGTCGAGGGAGGTGATTTTGCCCCTCTACTCTGCTCTGGTGAGACCTCACCTGGAGCGCTGCGTCCAGCTCTGGAGCCCTCAGCACAGGAAAGACATGGACCTGTTGGAACAGGTCCAGAGGAGGGCCACAAAAATCATCAGAGGGACAGAACACTTCTCCTATGAGGAAAGGCTGAGAGAGTTGGGGTTGTTCAGCCTAGAGAAGAGGCGGCTTCGGAGAGACCTTATTGAGGCCTTTCAATACTTAAAGGGGGCTTATAAGGAAGATGGGGACAAACTTTTTTAGTAGGGCCTATTGCAATAGGACAAGGGGTAATGGTTTTAAACTAAAGGGGGGTAGATTCAGACTAGATATAAGGAAGACATTTTTTTACGCTGAGGGTGGTGAAGCACTGGCACAGGTTGCCCAGAGAGGTGGTGGATGCCCCATCCCCGGAAACATTCAAGGTCAGGTTGGACGGGGCTCTGAGCAACCTGATCAAGTTGAAGATGTCCCTGCTCCTTGCAGGGAAGATTGGACTAGATGACCTTTAAAGGTCCCTTCCAACCCAAACTATTCTATGATTCTATAAATATATCCTCCCTTCTATCCCCCTTCTTTGTCCACATCTTTTTGCATCTTCCATTGCTTCCTCTCCTCTGCTGCCTCATATCCAAGCTGACTTCTTTCACTTCCTAGACACTTCAAAGCACGTGCTTCTATTATCTATGTTTAGGGTACAGAGAGGTTACTTCCAGTCAGCCACAGTGCCCACCTCAAATCCCTACTGAGAGCCAAAACTCTCCTTATACATGTCCAATGTCTACAGCCACCTGCCCTCTCTTGTAGGTTGTAGGCTCTCTCAGTCAGGCACTCTTCACATTCTGCATTCATACAGTACTTCCTACAGAAAGACTCAGATCAAAATATGCCAATTGTCACTGCCTAGGTCTCAAGCATTCAGCTAGTTTGGTCTACTAACCTTGCCTCTATTGTACGATACTCAAAATCCTGCCTCAGTCATATACACTTTCACTAGCTTGGCTGTTTTCCTACATCCATCCCCACACACAAACACTGGGAGCAAGTCAGATGCACAGTGGTTTGTACATGCTCACAGCGAGAGACCCCAAATAATCCCTTCGGTTATTTAAATGCTTCTCCCAGACACAAGACCTCTCTCTTAAAGGACAAAAGCAGCATTGGTAACAGAGCTGCAGTTTTTGGCACTACAGTAAAGTAAGAAACACAATCCCACCCTGATCACGCAGTACCTTTGAGAAGTGTTCCAAGATCATCTTCTGAAAGGCTCGCTCATATGGGTCCGAAGGCATCAACTTCTTCCCTGGAAATGCTTCATCCAAATACTCACAAGTGATTGGGGACTCATAGATCAGCTGGCCCTTGCTGGTTTCCAGAACAGGAACCAGCCCAAAGGGGTTCTTCTCAAAGAACCAGTCAGGTTTGTTCTTCAGATTGATGTTGATTATTTCATGGCTAAAAGAGCGAAAGAAATAAGACCCAAACAGGCTCAGTTCTGCTACAGTCCACTCCACACCATGGTGAAATGCAGTCATTACATCTCAACAGCTACAGTACTTGAGAGGCTGAATCCTCCTTCCCCTGCTGTCCTTAGTCTTCCCTGAAGTCCTTTGCAAAATTAACTCTTTGACACGTAGAAATACTGCCAGGGAGCACTTCCCTTTGCTGGTGAAAATCAGCACTGCCTTGCAATGAGTTGTTTGTTAAACTAATAAAAGACACACGACAGTCTGGAAGCACACAGAGGCAGCCCTTATAGTCATGCTAAAAACAAAGGTCAAGCTCAGGATGCAGCACACTTATCACATGCAGGTTCAGGGACATTCTAAGAAAGAAGCACTTGATTGCAAATAAGCAACACTCCAATTAAGAAATGCAGTTGAACTTTAATCTGACCTTACACCAAAGAGCAAATCAGCAGACCATCATACCTACTTATCTTCCCCCCCTACGGCCTCGTATAGAACCGGTGTGCAGGGTAAAGGCAAAATAGATATTGATAAAAAAGGCACATGGGAAATACATCTGTTATATTAACAAAGCATGTTATATGCTGTGTTATATGTGTGACCCTATAAAATTCCTAGTAAGCCCAAAGGTCTGCTAAACACAGCTGAACCTTCAAAACAACTGAAACATTACCAGAAGACACCTACCATGTTTAGGTAGCAATAAAACCCCTCCAAAATAACTATACTAAAACAAACCTCCCAGCTCCAAAAATCAGTCCAAAGACACTAAATGAAAACAAAATTAAACTGACCTGGAAGTTGTAGTGCACCTACTCTTTGGAAAAAGAGAAAACAAACAAGCAAACCCAACTCTCATCTTGCTATCAGAAGAACTGAGCAGTAAGCGTTCACTATGCTAACATGGACTCCCAGCTCAGTGCTGGTTAACAAACCGTTGGCAGGCCTGGGACCTGGTGGGAATCAGCAGGTGGAAAACCCGGTCACTTTGAAGCTGTAAACTGAGGGAAGCATTAGTCCCCATTTAAAACACACTGAAATGACATGGCTGTCTTGAAAAAGAAACAAACAACAAGTACTGAATTCCATTAACTTACTACAGTACAGGAATGAGAAGACGTTATAGGAACATAGTACATTTCCTCTTTTAAAAAGGCCGCTCACTCACTACTGTATTTTGCTAAGCAGTAATGTAACAGAAACACTTAAAATTCGTATCTCCCAGAATTTTCACTGTAGCTTACATCAAAAACCAAACAACAACGTATGTTAAGGCTCTACTCACATTTACCCAGGACAAGCTCAAATACTATTATTGTAAACATTCAGGATGACAGGTGAGAAAAAAAAATCAGCTTGGGTTTTTTCCCCTACAGATTTACTTTGGGCCTTTACATAATTGATTTCATACACAGCCTACTTATTTCCCACGTCAGCAAGACACCGCTCCCCAAAAAAGTCCTAAGAAGTTCAAGCTTTATAGCAAAATCACCCACAGAAACCCTTTTTCATTCAGTTCTTTTGGGGATGTTTAAGTCCCATTTAGGATGCCCAGGTAAGAAGGGAAGCCTGAACCGCCCCCTGCTCCGTGCGAGCCCTGACAGACCGTGAGGGGAGCGCGGGGTGTAGCGGCACCGGGGGAGGGGGACGACAGACAGCGGAGCAGGGCGGCCGACGGGGAGCGGCGCACCGCGCCATACCGGCCCGCCGGGAAGGCCTGACCTGATGCCCTTGGCGCGGAGGACGAGGCGCGTCCTCTGGGCGAAGGGGCAGAACCGCATGCTGTAGAGCCGGATCACCCCCTCAGGCACAGGCCCCGGGGCCGCGCTACCTGAGGAGAGAGAAGAGAACCGTTCCGACCGTTACAGTCGTTTTTCGCCTCACCCACAGGCCCGCACTCCCTCCACAGGCCGCCCA